CTTCCTGGATGTCCTCGTATGCCGCAAGGATTGTGGTGGACTAAAGATCAAAGTGTTCAGGAAAGCGACAAATACGATGCAAGTACTGAACTTCAACAGCAACCACCCAATCAGTCACAAACGCAGTTGTGTAAGGACGCTCTATCGGCGTGCCGAAACACACTGCAGTGAGCCGGAAGACAAGATTGCGGAACTACAATACCTCCGACGGGTATTCAAAGCCAATGGCTACCCGAGCAACTTTGTCAACCGGTGCATACGCAAAATGGACGAAAGGCCTAACCTCAGGGACACCAAAGTTTGGCGAGCGCTTCCATATGTCAAGAACGTTTCGGTAGCTGTTGGCCGCCTTCTCGCACCGCTGGGGGTTGGAGTTGCACACTGGCCAGAGGCAACCATCAGGCGTCAACTGATGAAACCAAAAGACCCACTGCCACGGCAAGAAACGTCTGGAGTCGTTTATCGGATCTGGTGCAGTTGCGGACAAAGCAACTACGTCGGAGAAACCGGAAGACAGCTCCGAACGCGAATGGCCGAACACGCTGCAGCAGTGCGAAGAAATGACGCCAGCTCTCAAGTTGCGGCTCATTCGACGGGTTCCGGCCACACATTCAAATTTGACGAGGCCGAAATTCTCACAAGAGGTGACAACCGCGTGAGCCGGGAGCTGCTTGAGTCATGGTTCACTGGCCCCCAGTCTATTAACAAGTGCAATGATCTTCCCATTCAATACAGCGTGCTGAGACTTCGTCTAGGCGGAGAAATTGGCCACGCGGGGAGCGCCCTGATGAACACTCTTCCCAACACCCGGGTCAGCGCGCCAGATGGTCGAGCAATCATCACGCCAACATCCAACGCACGTGATGAAATTGCAGCAATTAACGACGCGAATATCGACCATCACGCCACGTGCAACGAAGGGGAGGGAGCCGTGAACATTCATAGGTATGCGGTGGCATGGCTACTGCATCCTATAAATACTGCAGCCACATGTGCATGAACCACCCTTATCTGCTTATGTCTCTGATGATGGATTCGAGCAGGAATCCGAAACGTCAGGCTAATAAAGCTCTTGTCCCGGCGATCGTGTCTTCTTCTTTAAGACTGCTTCCTGGAACTCGTCTTTTCGCTTCTATTGGCAATGTTGTAGAAGGCCGATAAACGTGCCAAAGGTTCATTCACAGTCCTGGCATGTTGAAAGGGGTTGACTGCTGGCGCTGCACATCAGGGGCGCCTGACGCCTGCGATCTTCCCACTTGGCTTTGGCAGTACCGATCCGGTTGTCTTCAGAGATGGCTCCTCCAACCTTCACTGCTCCTCTCCAGGCCGGTCATCTCTGTGCGAAGTCATTCCGGATCTTCGGACTGATCTGTAGTCGCCTAAATGAATTCTTCGGGTATCCTTGTCGCGGCGGCATTGACCTCCTTGTCCGTGAACACCCGTGTCAACATCTCCCTAGAAGACTTGTCTTACTAGGTGTGCACCTCTCATCCTCACAAGGTGGCCGCTCTATCCTACTTGAAATTTCCCCTACATGGCGTGGATGCTGAGGATTCCAGTGCGTCTCAGAGCTTCCGTGACCCGATCCTGTTCTTCCACCTCAGCTTTAGTACCCGTCAGGGACAAATGAAGTGGAAGTGATTGAGCTTCCGCGCTTGTTTCGTGCACATTTGCAGATCTCTGAACCATACAGCAGAGTCGTCAATATGACAGCTTTGTACATCTTCAGCTTGATACTCAGGTGGAGACCGTGTCGATTCCATACGGAGTTCCGCAGTCGGCCCAAGGCTTGGCTGGTTTTAGAAACCCGGTGAGCCACTTCGTCATCAATTTTGATGCAGCTTTAGAGTGTGGTGCCTAGATAGGCGGAGATGTCCATGGTGTTCATTTGGGTGCCGTAGACGTGGATGCGAGGAGCACTTTATGCAGTGTTGGGAGGCGGTTGACTCATGATCACCGTTTTTCCGTGTTGATGGTCAGTGCGCAGTTGGCGCAGCCGGCGGCGAAGAGTTCCATGCTGCGTTGCATGTCGGCTTCTGTGTCGGTCTTGAGTGCACAGTCGTTGGTGAAGAGCAGGTCGTGAGCATTAGTCGTGGAGAGACACGTTGGGGCCTGTACGAGCCGACTGTTTAGAAGACGCTCGTCGGTCCTGTAGGCAATGCGGATGCCGGGTGGCCGTAATCAAAAGCCCACACCGCAACCTGCACTCTGCAAGCGTCGCGCTTTCAGGGGCGCGTGTGTGCGTGATTTGAAATTTTAGAGGTCACGCGTCGAGCAGAAAGCACACGGTTTTATGGCGTTCGTGACCTCTCTCTCACCGCGGACGTTTGTGTGCGCATGTGTGCACTGATGCCTCACCAACATACTATCTCGACTGTACAAGCGCGAAGGCCGTCAGCGCTCAACATTATAAGCGCAGTAGTAATTTTCACTCGGATTTGTTTGTTTTGAAGCAGACTTACGTTGCGTCTATCTCACTCCACTTTTCCTACTTTTGCCATCTACCAGTACAAAAGATGAGTTTGAGGAGACTGAAAATGGACATGAGCTCTCACACTGAAACGTTAAACAGCCTTCATACGCATGACCTGGTTCCCAACGCCACATGCACGGGACTTCGTGTGTGAGGCTTTTTCGTTCACATTAGTGAGGAGCCATTACAAACTACATTACGAAGGAATCGTTGCATAATGACACTCGTCCCTATCAAACACCAAACTGTCCAATTAACTGGTAACTACCCTATCCGCGACCATTGGACGTCGTTGTGGTTTCGAGCAGTTCAAATTTTTTAAAAAGGAAAGCGGGTTGAATTGGCCTCAGCACCAGTCTCACTGTCTCTCCCCTCTCTCATGCGCCAGTGACCTGTCCGCGCTTCTGGAATGATCGAAGATGAAATTAAGTGTGCAGGCTGAGGTTGTGCACGCCCCCGTCTAATGCGGGCCACGCAAATGTGAGACAGTAGTCAAGGGTTCCCCAAGAAAAAGCACACACAGACTAGCGCATGCCATTAGACACTGCGGTCCCAGTTTTGGATTAACTGAAAAACGGTTCAGTTCGTTTGAGGACGAGCACAAACGGACAAACACTGTTTCCCAATAAAATGTTCGTTCGCAGTTATAGTTAGCAACCTGTATTCTAAGCTAGTTTAGACGCGGCCTGTGTATATTTGCAGTGCGTTGGATTGAACGGCAGACCTATAAGCGACTAATGCAAAGGCTTTAACATTCAAACGAAATACCGGAAGTTGCTGGTTAGGAAATGGAACCATGGGTAAAACGTAAATGCGACTAACTTATCTGGGTAAAGAGATTGATGGCTGTTTCCTGTTTTATCAAATAAAACTTTGCTAAGGTAGCCTTCATGATACAGTAATAAATTGAAGAAGGAGACACGATCGCTGGGACAAAAACTTTATTAGTCTGACGTTTCGTATTCCTGCTCGAATCCATCATCAGAGACCACAGCAGATACAGGTGATTCACGCACAACGGGCTGCAGTATTTATAGGATGCAGTCGTCATGCTACCGCATACCTGTGAACATTCACAGCCCCGCCCTTCATCCGGGATCGTTGCACTTGGTGTGCTGAATGTTTGATGGCCGACATTCGCGTCGTTAATTGCTGCAATTTCATCACGTGCGTTGGATGTTGGGGTGATGATTGCTCGACCATCTGAAGCATCGACCCTGGTGTTGGGACAAGTATTCACATATGCGCTCCCCGCGTGGCTAATTACTCCGCCTAGGCGAAGTTTCAGCACCGAGTATGGAAGGGAAAGTTCATTGCACTTGTTAATTGACTGGAGGCCAGTAGCCCATGATTCAAGCAGCTCGCGGCTCACGCGGTTGTCACCTCCTGCGAGAATTTCGGCCTCGTCGAATTTGAATGCGTGCACGTATCTCGTCGAATGAGCCGCAACTTGGGAGCTGGCGTCATTTCTCCGTACCGCTGCAGCGTGTTCGGCCATTCGTGTTCGGAGCTGTCTTCCGGTTTCTCCGACAAAGTTGCTTTGTCCACAACCGCACCAGATCCGATAAACGACTCCAGACGTTTCTTGCCTTGACAACGGGTCTTTCGGTTTCATTACCTGACGCCTGATGGTTGCCTCCAGTCTGTGAGCAACTCCAACTCCCTGAGGAAGGGGGAGCCGTAAATATTCATAGGTATGCGGTAGCATGACGACTGCATCCTATAAGTACTGCAACCCCTTTTTCATGAACCACCCGTATCTGCTTTTTTCTCTGATGCTGAGTTCGAGCAGGAATCCGAAACGTCAAGATAAAATAGTTCTTGTCCCAGCGATCGTGTCTCCTTCTTCAAGACTGCTTCCTGGGACTCGTCTCTTCGCTTCTATTGACAAAGTAATGAATTGTTAACATTTCAGTGACTGCAGTCTCCGACGGTAGTTTTTTTACTTGTTTGTGGCAGTCAGTAGACAATCTCATATGCTTGCCAGTGAAAAGTATATTAGGTGCCAGAAAAAAAGTAAAATCACCACGGAAAATTATTTTCAGTCGGGGGTGTTTCTCAGCGTAGAAAATGTGTTGGGTTTTTTGAGACTTAATCTCTTTTTCGGAGAGAATATGAGGCACTCTCCATGTAGGTCGAAAAGCAAGTCCTAATACATTCCACCCCGAGGTTGCACAGAACATGCGGTGGACTACACTATTTCATAACCACCCAAGATCAGTTATAGAAGAAGTTTATCTCTCCTCCCTGCTAAGGGAACTAGACAGATTTCTCGAATAAGTTGGGGT